ACACCAGTTACAATAGTCACTAGAGAGTGACAACAATCAAAATTAAGAAATTCAAATCTATCAGACCCATAGCAGAATTGAACCACTGTACATAGTTGACCGACAACTGACTAGACAACCAGATTATAAATCTTGATGGTCTTTTTGTTCATTTGTTTTTACTGTTCTACTCTTGTTTTATGAAGTTAAACCACTCAAAGCTGTGTATTGTATGTAACTGTGTACAATTGTTAAACTGAAAGTTAAACGCAGGGAATACAAAGACGCTAGAAGATACAGATTGCAATAGCAACCCAAAAAAAAAAAACCCCATTGGAGACCCACACACCTCACAGCTAAACACACACCCCAACAAAATAATAGCAACCATATCAATCCTAACACACAACGCCAGAGGCCTCAACACGCCCGAGAAACGCCATATGGCACTCACAGATTACCACAGGCAGAAAGCAGACATAATATATATACAAGAAACACACTTCCATAAGGATACGGCCCCCACACTCAGATCAAAATTCTACACTAAAGGCTATTTTAGCAACTATGTTGGCTCAAAATCCAGAGGAGTAGCAATCCTTCTCTCTACACAACTTCCCTTCATATACAAAGACCACTACTCGGATGACGGAGGCAGGTTCCTATTTCTTAAAGGGCAAATAGGGAACATTACCACAACCCTAGCCAATATCTACCTCCGGAATAGGAAGCAAACCCCCATTTTACGCGAAATACTCGGCAAACTGGAAGCGTTCACAGAGGGATTGCTGATTTTGGGAGGGGACCTAAACGTCTCACAGGATGGGATGCTGGATACAACCTCTCATGCCCAAACGTACCAGGCTTCAACGAGACAGCAAATTCAAAAAATTCTAGACTCCTACCAATTGTATGACACTTGGCGGGTTACACACCCGAACTGCAGAAGTTACTCATATTATTCCCATTCATCAAGATCATACTCCAGAATAGACATGCTATTCACCCCACATAGATTCCTGAACCTCATCAATACACGTGAATATGCCCCAATAACTTGGTCAGACCATGCCCCACTCTCAATGACAATAACAATCCCAAATCTACACCCTACAAGAACACAATGGAAATTAAATGACACTCTACTAAATGACCAAGTAATACAATCCCAAATCGAAGAAAATCTAATCCAATACTTTGAAACAAACACAACTGCAGACACACCATACCCAATAATATGGGAAGCCCATAAAAGCACAATTAGAGGAACAATTATACAAATAGCACCTCAACACAAAAAACAACAGGAGGCACAAGCCACAAAAATAACCAAAGAAATCAGGGTGTTAGAAGAGGCACATTACCGAAACATTACACTGCCACAATACAAAAAACTCCTAGAGAAACGAACGGAACTTAACACCATCTTAAATATACGCACTAAATACGCACTAGCAAAGACATGAAGCCTATACTATGCGCAGGGGGGAAGTGTGGACGCTTACAAGCAAACTCGCTTAAAAAACAGAGAGAACATGCTTTCATAGCATCCATAAGGGACAATAAAGGGAACATTTCTCACTTAATGACAGACATATCCAAAGCTTTTCAGGAATATTATCACTCCCTATATAACCAGAGACAGACCCCTCCCCCGATCCAAGACATGCAAAGCTTCCTCACAAACAGAATACACACCACTCTACCGAACAATCTGAGTGAAACTTAGAACACCCCATTACAACAGAGGAATGCAGGCAAGCGATCAAAAACCCCTGGGTCAGGAAAAGCCCTGGCCCGGATGGGTTCACAACAAAATACTACAAAACCTTCGCTTCACCTCTCATCCCACATTTCACAAAATCTTTCACCTCCCTTTTACAAAACAACTCTCTCCCTTCACAGGCGCTAAACGCCACGATTACTCTACTTCCAAAACCAGGCAAAGATCCAACCCAATGCAGCAGCTACAGGCCGATCTCCTTAATAAATGTAGACCTTAAACTCTTTACAAAAATTTTGGCCAACAGACTCCGCCCACTACTGCCAGGGTTAATACACGTGGACCAATTGGGCTTCCTACCCGGTAGAGAAGCAAAAAACAACACCACAAAGATTATAAACCTGATCCACCATGCCTCATGATCGGGGGCTCCCAGTCTACTTCTGTCCATAGATGCCAAAAAAGGCATTTGACAGAGTGGACTGGACCTTAATGTCATACACACTTCAATTCCTAGGCTTTGGACCTAATTGGCAAAAATGGATCAAAGCAATATATTTGAACCCCACAGCCAACATTCGGATCAACGGACAACTGTCCAACCGTGTATTAATATCAAATGGCACTAGGCAGGGATGCCCCCTCTCCCCCCTCCTCTTTGTACTCATCTTAGAACCATTCCTACAGGGAATCCGGGACAACATCAACATCAAAGGAATACAGGTGGTAAAAGATGAACATAAAATTGCCGCATTTGTGGACGATATGCTTTTCTCCATCTCAGACCCTCTCACCTCACTCCCATCCCTATTGGAAGAAATGAACACTTACAGCGCAATTTCCAACTTCAAAGCAAATCTCAGTAAATGTGAAATCCTACCAATACACATTCAGGCACACACAACAACAACAATAAAACAAGAATACCAATTTTCGTGGGCCACACACAACATAAAATACTTGGGAATCCACATTATCAGAGATACTAACCACCTATTTGAAGGCAACTTCCCAGACCTACTGAAAACTATACACTCGGATCTTACAGCTTGGAACAAGCTTCAGTTTGGCTGGTTCTGCAGGCTGAACATCCTAAAAATGAATGTCCTACCCAGGATCCCATATATGTTACAAGTACTCCCCATAACAATACCAAAGACATGGTTCAATAGAGTATGCAAGACATTCACGACCTTCATCTAGTCACATAAAAGCCCACGACTAGCATACACACTTCTCACAAAGCCGAAAGAAGAAGAAGGGCTCGGCCTATCTGACGTAGATAGATACTATAAAGCGGTTCACCTAACTAGAATTAAACTATGATTGGTCATGCACTCGCACCACGAAACAATGGGTGACTATCGAAAACACATTTTTTAGGGCACCTATATACATGATCCCATGGCACAAAACAGGGCAAACACTAATGCCGAGAAGCCCACACCCAACGATTACACCCACCTTACGCATATGGGCAACCCTCAGACCAAACAAACAAATTTCTCCTTACCCATCTCCATTATACCCAATCTCACACAATCCACTCTTTCAGCCGGGAGAAGACGGCAAGGTGCAGAAACCTTTCCACAAATCAGCATACCTCACATTGGGAGAATTATTAGACGAGACTGGGGAACAGCAGACCAAACTACTACACGACCTCATAGAATCACCAACTGCGATACAAAATTTCCAGTACAATCAACTAACACACTTTATACACTCAGGACCACTGTCACAGGGAAACAACCGAACACAAACAGCATTTGAACAACATTGCTCCAACCAAGACCTAAAAAAGAAACTCATCTCAATAATGTACGCTATTATTTTAGCAGCGTACTCACACCAATTACCAACATTCACCACAACATGGGAAAGAGAACTAAATATAGAGATATCAAGAGATAAATGGAAACAAATCTTTAGACAAATTCACAAATCTTCTAAAAACATTATAGCCCAGGAAAGCAACTATAAAAGGATAGCTAGATGGCATTACACACCATCGAAGTTACACCATCTCTTCCCGACCACAGTGGACCAATGTTGGAGATGCCAACAATCCAAGAGCACAACTACACACGTATGGAGGACGTGCCCAGAGATCCGCAAGTACTAGACATGAATCTCGGGCACGATCTACAAGATGCTTCAGATAAACATTCCCTTACACCCAGACACATACATATTTCTCCTCCCACCCTCGGACATATCAAACCACGAAAAAATACTATTTATACACCTAATCACAGCAGCAAACCAGCTTATCCCAGCCCTCTGGATACAAACTCACACACCCTCCACACGAGAATGGATACAAAAAGCAGAAACCATCAGAAACCTAGAAGAGACGTGCTACTCCCTGACACATCAATACCACATTTACACATCCATATGGGACCCATGGCTCCAATACCTATTATTATTAAAATAATTATTAAAATAATAATCAATCACACTCCCCCAGTCCCCACACCCCTTCCATCCAACTTACTCCCAAGGGTACCTCGAGAGACAAAGCCAACAATACATGACACCTAGTACAACCCAATAGATGTAAGAGCATAGGCAGGTTGCAAGGACATGAGGAACTGTCATAAACAAGGAATCCAGGGGTGTACACAACCGGACTAATGTAAAAGTTATCGAGAAGTTTCAATGGTTCACTAAATTTACAGAATCTCAGTTCAACCAAACCAGTCATACAATACTCAAATCTGTAATACACAGTTGAAAATGTTTGAAATCTTGTTGTATTGGTCAGAAAGACCACCATGCACGCGAAACAAAAAATATATATTTGTAATGTTTCAATAAAAAATTAAAATAAATAAATAAATAACTCACTTTTTCTCCAAAAAACCCCCAAAAACATCCGTATTTGAAGTGGTGTCCACATGCTTTTGGCATTGTATTGTTTTTATTCTAGTTCTTGGCAATCTTGGCATTGTTAACAAGATTAGTTGCCCATAAATAAATACCTATATGACCTTCTTCCTGACCAACTGCACTCTAATAATCAAGGGTAAAAAAGTACACAATCACAAATACAGTTTATATATGTGTCAAACTTTAAGAAACTACAGAAATGTATATTTGAGCAGTTAAAGATCAGAAAAACATGCAAATACATTGTTGCGAAGGGGGGAGGAGTGATGACGTAGCACGCACGCACCTGGTGTCGAAAAGGGAGAAGCCCGATAGAAGCGAGGGGCTCAGGGCAGACGCATAGAAGCTGGAGACACATGGGAGCCTGTGAGTCTGTGAACTAATGAGCCTACGAGCCAGAAGCATGGGACACTACAAGGCAGTTGGAGACGCTGGGAACTTCGATAACCGCAAGACGGAAGACTCCGCGGTGGCTGTAGCATATCTTAGACCCACGTGTGAGGAAACAAATTGGGCTGGTCGGGGAACAAAAGACAGCAGTGCTCTGGCTGGAATTCATACTCCTAAGCTGAAGAGCCAGCCTATGAGAAGGAGATTGCAGAACATTGTGCTGGTGCTAATAGATTGGAAGACCCAGAGAAGTGGATATGCTTTACTCAAATGACATAAAGAAATGAGTAAAAAGAAAATCATCTGTTGATTGCATTCCATTGCACCCTATCACATTTTGTTTCTGTTTTCTATTTTTTATTTTTTATTTGCAACTTGTGGCCTCTATCAACTGACTGGTTATAGAAGAAAGTCCTACACTTAGCTTATAGAAGAAAGTTTTACACTTATTTTTTAAGTATATACTTACTTTTCTCCTGCAATCTGTGGCTTGTATCACCTGACTGGCTATAGAAGAAAGTCCTACATATTATTTCTTAAGTATATATTAAGTGGAGCATTTATCTTACCCAAAGGAGAGTCATCTATTGATTGCATTTCATTGTATCCCATCACATTTTTGTTTCTGTTTTTTTATTTTTCTTTGCAATCTGTGGCTTGTATCACCTGACCGGTTATAGAAGAAAGTCCTACATATTATTTTATAAGTATATAATTACTTTTCCTGCTGCACTTTATGGCTCGTATCACCTGACTGGTTACAGAAGAAAGTCTTATATATTACTTCTTAAGTATATACTAAGTGGAGCATTCATCTTTCTCATCTATAGGAGAGAGCCTTATTAATGCATGAGCAGTTTGTGAGTAGCTCGGTGCTTAAATGTGAACTTGCGCTTAAAGAGTTGAAGAGTTAAGGTGACACAACAAGTGAAATAACATCTTTTTACTAAGGAGACAATATACATTGGCTTGGAACTCTGACTAATGGCCTCAAAAAAGAATTCTGGAAGTCGGGCCCCTAAAAAAGATCAAAGATATCAGATCTGAAAAAAGACTGTCATTTTTTTTTACTCCATGATCTCCAAGCATGGGGGAAATAAGTGAAGGTGCCTCATTTATCCAAGCTGAAGATAGAGAAAGTAATACTCTTTCCGTTAATGTTAGGGATGTGCATGGGAAAAATATTCGGTTCGGCTCGGCATTCCGAAATTCAGAACTTTGGGACTTGGGGTAAGGGTAGGGTTAGAGTAGGGTTAGGGTTGGTTAGGAGTAGGGTTATGGGCAGGATTAGGGGTAGGGTTAGGTTAGGGGTAGGGTTAGGGTAGGGTTAGTTTAGGATTAGGGTTAGGGGTTAGGATTAGGTGTAGTGTTAGGGGTAGGGTTAAGGGTAGGGTTAGGAAAGAGGTATGGTTAAGGGTAGGGTTAGGATAGAGGTAGATTATGGTTAGGGTTGGTTTAGGAGTAGCGTTAGGGGTTGGGTTAGGGTAGGGCCAGGGGCGGGCTGGGCCGGGGGGCAGGGAGGCAATTGCCCCCCAGGCCGCCCTAAATTCTGTTGGGACCGGCCGCTGCAGGGCCGGCCCTTTAAATGCTGCAGCCGCCTGAGCGCTCTGTGAAGAGCCTCAGGCGGCTGCGGCTGCTCCTCTCCTCCCCTCCCCTGTAGCGTGGCCGAGCTGCTTGCTGGTCCGCGGTGCCCGGCCGGACTGATAGGAAGGCGCACGCTGAGTGTGCACTTCCTGTCAGTCCGGCCGGTTACAGGAAACAGAAACTCCAGTTCCGCACGGAGTTTCTGTTTCCTGTAACTGGCCGGACTGACAGGAAGTGCACACTCAGCGTGCACTTTCCTATCAGTCCGGCCGGCACCGCGGACCAGCAAGCAGCTCGTCCACGCTACAGGGGAGGGCAAGGGAGAGGTGAGGAGGGGGGGAAGAAGTAAGTGAAGGGGGGGGAGAAGTAAG